TGCTTATTTCCCAGATCTGCATAGGTGTTTTTTCAATGGAATGCTTTGGTTCTATCAGAATCTTAGCAGGAGAATCTCAGTAGTTTTCACATGATTCGTGAATCTTCCTGCAGGTGCCAGCAAGGGGACAGAAAGAAACTCAATAACTAGCCTCTTTTCCCAGCAAATTGTGGAAACAGTGTGCTAAACAGAAGTAGATGACTTGAAAACTCTAAAATGTTTTATTTCTTTTATTCCTGGTGGTCTGACTAGCTGCTGTAATGAGTGATGATGTATCAAATGGATCATGAGCAGGCTGGTAATTTTGACCATAGATTTTTTTTTTTTTAATACCACATAGGTTAGACTCCATGTTAAGTCAAAGATATCCTTTATGATATAGATAGTTTTATTTTTCCCCTCTGAGAAAGTTAATGGACTCTCTTCATCTTTTGGTAGGTATAAAAACAACTCCAGGGGCTGGCGTTGTGACACAGTGTGTTAAGCTGCCACATCTCATATCACATTGCCAGTTCAAGTCCCGCTACTCTGATTCCCATCCCGCTTCCTGTTAATGTGCCTAGGAAAGCAGCAGAGGATTGCCCAAGTGCTCAAGTCCCTGCTAACCATGTGGGAGATCTGGATGGAATTCCTGGCTTCTGGCTTCAGCCTAATCCAGCCCTGGCTATTGTAGCCATTTGTGGAGTGAAATAATGGAGGAAGATTTCCTCTCTGGCTCTGTCTCTCTGGCTCTGTCTCGGTCTCTCTCTCTTGCTTTGTCTTTTAATAAATAAATAAATCTTTAAAAGAAAACACACAAAGACAAAAAAAATCAACGTTATTCTTTTCTCTCTCAGTTCCTGTATCTGCAAATGCTGATTCCATGAGATTTCCATGCCAGGATTATGTGGACTGATATTCACATGGATATTGGACAACTGCGTATGACTGATCCTTTAGTAAATATTTATCCCATGGAAAGGCAGCTCCAAAAAAGTTAAATGAGCTACGGGATATGAACTTTACCGTTTTGATTGATTTCACTGAGGAGAGACCTTATGGAACCTAGGGACAGCCTGAAGCATGACAATGTAACTCAGTGAGTCCCAAACAGTTACCACGCCAAGGAGGAGGCTCTCTGTCCAATGGCTGGACTTCTGGAGTGTTTGGGCACATGTCACCACAGTGATGTTTATTAAATGGAATGTCCATCTCATAGTGCTCTCAAAGGTATTCCTTTTTCTTATTTTAAGTTATTGCTTCTCTTTATTGCACACGATGTCCTATAAAGAAGATATATGTCTACAATTGAGCTTTGAAAGAGGACCATGGGGCCAGTTCCATTTAAAGGGAATGAAGTCAAGCAGTAAATTTGCTGGTCACTCTTTTCATAGGGACTGTATCTCAGCCAGCGGTTGGTCTTTGATGTTGTTACAATGGTGCTGGGCCCCAGAGGCACAGGAGCATCCCCATAACATCGAACTAGTCGCATTCATTAAAGTTTGGAGAACAGTGTGCAAGACAATGCATTTCTGCAAGCCCAGGAAGTGGACTCCAGGGCTGCAGGTTTTATTTCCTAGTGAAAAAAAAAATCATTCTGTTTTCACTATTTTAAAATCTATGCATATGAGGGATCTTCCCAAAGTTCACAGAAATGCATGTCATAAAAAAATAGGATGGTTTCAAAATTTTTTGCGCCAAAATCAATTTATGTGTTCATTCCGTTTTGTGCATTTTAAAGTATATTTTTATTGAAGTATGATACTAATATAGAAATAATATATAGCCATACAGCTTGATGAGATTAAATGAAAAGAGGACATCTGTGTAACCAACAATCAGATCAAGAAACAGAACATGGCCAGCACCCCAGGTGCCCCCCTTGTGTCCCTTGTTAATCACTTCCTTGATAAAGGTAACAAGTGACCTCCCTTCCAGTAGCATAGATTCATATATATAATATCTCATCATATCCTTTTTTGTGCCTGGCTTCTTTCATTCAACATTATATTTGTGAAATTTTACCTGCTGTGCGTAGTTGTTATTTGCTTATTCCCAGGGTGTCCATTCTACTATTGATGGGCTTTAGAGCTATTTCTAGGTTGGGCCTATTTTTTAAGATTTGCTTATTTTTAAAGGCAGTGTGAAGAGGGGGGAGGGGAGAGAGAGATCTTCCAAATGCTGGTTCACTTCCCAAATGCCTACAACATACAGGCTTTGGTTAGGCTGAAACCAGAAGCCAGGAACTCCATCCGGTTCTCCTACATAGGTGGCAGGGACCCACGTCTTCGGACCATCATCTGCTGCCTTCCCACGTGCATTAACAGGAAGTTCTTTTAGAAGTGGAGAAGCCAGGACTCAAACTAGCATGCTGATAGGGGATGCAGATGTCCCAAGCAGTGGCTTAACCCACTGTGCCACAATGCCTGCCCCGGCCTATTTTAAACTAGTGCTGGGGCTGGCGCTGTAGTGCTGGCCTGAAGTGCCAGCATCCCATATGGGTGCTGGTTTGAGACCCGGCTGCTCCTCTTCCGATCCAGCTCCCTGTTGTGGCCTGGGGTAGCTGTAGAAGATGGCGCAAGTCCTTGGGTCCCTGCACCCACATGGGAGATCCTGAAGAAGCTCCTGGCTCCTGGCTTTGGATTGATGCAGCTCTGGCCACTTCAGCCATCTGGGGAGTGAACCAGCGGATGGAAGACCTCTGTCTCTGCCTCTCTCTGTAACTCTGTCTTTCAAATAAATAGAATAAATCTTAAAAAAAAAAAATACAAAAAACTAGTGCTGCTATGAACATTCTTTTTCAGATCTTCGAGTGCATTTCTGTTGGGCACATACCCAGTGTATAATTGTTGAGTCAGTGATATGTATTCATTCTGTCTGAGTAGGTTCTTTGGTTTTCCGAAGTGTTCTTATTAACACCCACTAATTTGCTCCACATTTTTGCCAACACTTAATGTCTTTTCATCTTGCCATTCTGTTGCTATAATGAAATAGTTTCTCATTTTTAGTGGTCATGTATTTTATTTTATTTATTTTTTTTTGACAGGCAGAGTGGACAGTGAGAGAGAGAGACAGAGAGAAAGGTCTTCCTTTGCTGTTAGTTCACCCTCCAATGGCCGCCGCGGCTGGCGCGCTGCGGCCGGCGCACCTCACTGATCTGATGGCAGGAGCCAGGTACTTATCCTGGTCTCCCATGGGGTGCAGGGCTCAAGCACTTGGGCCATCCTCCACTGCACTCCCTGGCCACAGCAGAGAGCTGGCCTGGAAGGGGGGCAACCGGGACAGAATCCGGCACCCTGACCTGGACTAGAACCCAGTGTGTCGGCGCCGCAAGGCGGAGGATTAGCCTAGTGAGCCGCGGCACCGGGACGGTGGCCATGTATTTTTAAAGTTCTTTTCCTTTTTTCTTTTAGCTATTGATCTAGTCAGTGCTCAATTCTGTGGCCACCTTCAAATGAGTAAATTATTAAGAGAGCTGAGATGAGACTGATCTCAACTCAACATTTAGAGTGAAAAAAATAGAAAGGATATTGTAAAATATATCTTTGGTGTGATGTGGTTGAAAATGTGTTCAATAAATTAGAGTCACAATGTATCAACAACAAAAGCAAGGAAACACATGATAAACTGCTCTGGGGATAAAGAGAAGCTGGGGACAAGGAAAGCATAATAGACAAAGATCTGGAGCCAGAGAGGCTCACAAGCTGATTAGATACTTGCAAGGTAATGCCACCACTTAAAAACAAACAAACAAACAAATATGATACTACTCATGAGGAAGGGAAACATTTTAAAACCCTGAACACATGCTCCATGGAACACCACAAGGAGAAGAACTTTGTGACACACTGAAGAAAAGGAAAACCTGGCTCATCACATGGAGAAATTCTTCAGGCCAGCAACAGTAATTAAAAAGGACACACCACTATCAGAGCTTGTGGAACTCCTGTCCCCAGGCTCATCCTGCTTCTCTTGTTATATCAGAGAAAGAAAGGTGGGGAAGGATGCCCCTTTATCAGGCTTAAATTATTCAAGTCCTTTGAGCGATGAATGACATATTTGTGGGCACAACTTCATTTGTACCACATGGCACATGATTTTTAAGCAATTGAAAATGAAACCAGAACTGAAAAACTCCAAAGTCCACGGCCACTCTTTGGCCACCCTGTTGGAACTTGTGACTTCTTTTGGCTGAGGAGATATCAACAGCTATAAGCCAAGTGTGACCCAGGCACAGAGGTGGTGTGCTTTTGCAATTCGACCTACCTTTTCCTTTTTTCACTTAGATAAATGTAGCAGTTGTCCTGTTGGTAACAGAATAATGGGAGATGCACAGAGTAAACCCAGACTCATCCCATGGCTTGGAGCCATGTCCTGCCCAGATCCGCAGAATCCCAGCTAACACTCTGCCCATGAGCATAAGAGTACATGCTTACTGTTGCAGGCCTCTGAATTTGGGGGTATTTTTCCCTGCAGTATAATTAAGAAATAGCTGAATAACACAGGGTCTATATTAAGTACTTTCTATGACTTGCAATTTGTGAGAAAGATATGCCTCTAGGCCAGTTATTCTCAAATTATCACTTGCATGTAATCAACCTGGAAATCTTACCAAATGCAGATTCTGATTCAGTAGTTCTGCATAAGGCTTAAGACTCTGACTTTCTAAAAAGTTATCAGAAAATGCTGATGCTGCTGGTCCACAGACCACATTCTAGGTGCAAGGGCTGAGAAGTGACTCTGAGCTGCTTGTTGGTATCAATGGGACAGAGCTCTACCTAGGGAACAGGTGTAAGGGAGAGACAATCTTTGCCCATATAATGAGAACCCTTGGTAGATCCCTAACAGTCTGCACCTACTTAACATCCAGCTTGGCCTGAAAGTCAAAGTCAGCTCATATTAATATTTCCTCAGCTTAATTTGCAGGCTAAGAATTAGAAATATAATATCTGATGGGATCTTTCTTTTTCCTGTTTTCCTTTTTATTTTCTTTTTCTTCTTCTACTTCCTTGGATTTGAAGGTTTCCGGCATTAAACCTGGCTTCCAACTCATTCTGGGCCCATAAACCATCCAAGGCTTCTAAATCACAATGTAATTGAGGCTGCAAGCAGGTATGTTTTTTGTTTGTGTCTTTGTCACTGGTGTAGATATTCTATCTGGATGCCTATGGATACCAGTTAACACCAGGTTCCTGGCATCTCTTATCTAGATTCTAACCAAATCTTGTTATTTTTGAAAACAAATATGTGTTTTCAGCAGGACACAGCTTGGCCTATTACATTTAAAGTCTACTTGCTGTTTTTCCAGGTCACTGCTGTTGAACATCTGGGGGTTAAGGTGTCTAAAACTGCAACTTTGCTAGCTAAATCTGGACTCAAACTTGCAGACAGAATTCTTCAGTTCTATAGGTACTGTAGCACTAACTTCCAAAGAGAACAGAGGCATTGCTCAGCAGTGGAGGTATATCAGTCACAGAAAACACTCCATGCAAGATGACTCTGTTTACTGAAATATGCATGGGTCAGGCCAGCAGGAAGAAGGGGTGGTTAACCTACTGTTTCTTCTTCTACTCAGTTTACAGAAATAACTTCCCAGTGACACCTGCTGGTTTGTGCTTGGGGAGTTGATGCTAAGCTATATTTGTCAAGGCTCTTCAGCCTCTGCCTTTTTCAAGCATTCAATAGAACCCCATATGTCTCTGAGGACTCCCCCCATTATTCACCTGCCCACCTAAAATAGTAAACCACCAGAAATCAACCTCTCAGGAGACACAGGATGAGTTAAATCTCTAAACACCAGGGATTTGTAGACTTTGCCTACGCATGACCTTTCCCATCCCTGCAATTTTGAAATTCCCCTCTTCCTGAGTGCTTTGAGAGAGCATGGGTAGTCTGACTCTGGGACTAATGGACCTCATCATTAATGATTACAAGCAGCAGGTGTTTCATGGAAACTCCATTTCTCTAGCTTTCCAGAAATTTCCTATACTAACATTACCTAGAGAAGTAGTTGCTATCCTAGTAACTAAAATATGGGTAATGCTTCCTTCAGTTTTGGGTCTTTCAGAAGCAGACACTGAAACTATATTATATTTCTAATTTCAGATATTATATCTCTAATTCTTAGCCTGCAAATTAAGCTGAGGAAATATTAATATGAGCTGACTTTGACTTTCAGGCCAAGCTGGATGTTAAGTAGGTGCAGACTGTTAGGGATCTACCAAGGGTTCTCATTATGTGGGCAAAGATTGTCTCTCCCTTACACCTGTTCCCTAGGTAGAGCTCTGTCCCATTGATACCAACAAGCAGCTCAGAGTCACTTCTCAGCCCTTGCACCTATATATTTCAGAGATGACCCCACTATTTTCTGGTAGTGGAAAGGGAACAGACAGGTAAGGGAAAGCTAGAAGGGTACTTTATGAAGTTAGTGACCATAGTGGGTAGTGAGTGCTTAGTCCCAAGAGTAAAAGCTGAGTTTTTTTTTTTAATGCCATACTCATTCTACACTCTTGACTGATATGCCATAGTAGGAAGTAAATGAAGTTTTATATATTTTATGTTCATGGTTTCCTATGAAGTTCTTATGGAAGGGGATTGTATAAGGTTTAAAATGCAAATTGAGATTTTTTTTTAATCAACACATTCCCTTGATATTCATTTGAACTCATTGCATATACTCTGCACATTAAATTGACACCTTATCTTATCCCCTAAATTAATCTCCTGTCTTAGGGGATGAGTAGAGATGGATGGATACCCTCAGCTGTCACTGAGGAGAGGGGTTCATTGCCATAATTGTCTTTATAAATCATAAAATCTTGAGCCAAGAATGAAAAAAGAAAGATGTTCTAAGAAGAACACATGGGAGACCCAAAGGAATCTCTTGGCTCATGGCTTCAGATTGGCCCAACTCCGACCACTGCTGCCATTTGGGGGAAAGAACCAGCAGATGGGAGACCTCTCCCTCTCTTTCTCTTTCTCTCTCTACCTCTACCTCTCAAATAAATAAAATCTTTCAAAAAACAGATATAAAAGTATAAGAGCAAAAATTAAGAGGCAAAAATATTTCAAACTCTGTAGGAGTTTCATAGGAGAGTATGGGGTATCAGAAATAAACATAAACATAACAACAAAAACAAAGTAATTTTCTCAAGCTCAAGACATGCTTGGGGTTTCAGATCAAAAGAGTCCATCATGTGTTAAATAGGACTAACATTTAAAATTATGAATCTAAACTCAATCTGTTGAAATTTAGTAAAGAAAAATGTACAAGAAGCTGTAAAAATCACCTTCAAAATCTATGAAATGCCTGAAAATGAATTCAAAGTAATGATGCTAAAGAAACTCAACAAGATGCTACAGAATCTAGATTGGTAGTTTAAAGAAATGAGGAAAGCAATAGATAACATGAATGAGAAATTCCATAAAGAGTCAGAAATCATTGAATACAAGCACACAGACATTTTGAAGCTGAAAATGACAATCAATAAAATAAAAAATACAATTGAGAGCTTCAAAATTAGAGTAAGACCAAGCAGCAGAAAGAATTTCTGATCTGAAGGACTAGATTTTTGAAATAACCCAATCAGACAAAAATAAGAGAAAAGAATTAAAAAGAATGAAGAAAGCATATGTGACATGAGACATTAAAAGAACAAATATTATATATTTAATATTATTAATATTCAGGTACTACAGGGATACCTGAAAAGAGAAGAGCAAGGCACAGCCATTGAGAACCTACTGAGTGAAATAATAGCTGAAAACTTCCCAAGTCTGGAAAGAAACATAGACAGCCAGATAGAGGAAGCACAAAGGACCCTGACTAGACTCAACCAAAAGATATCTTCTCCAAGGAATATTGTAATCAGATTTTCAAAAGTGAAGGACAAAGAGAGAATCCTAAAGATACTTTTACATATAAGGTAAAAAAATTAGCCTAACAGCATACTTCTCAGAAGATACCATACAGAATGGAAGAGTTGGTTGATATATTCAAGGTCTTGAAAAGAAAATTTAAAAAATTCCAACCAAGAATATTATATCTAGTGAAGCTGTCTGTTAGAAATGAAGGAGAAATATTTACCATACCAAAAAAAAGCTAAGAGAATTCATCACCACCAGACTAGCCTTAAAACAAATTCAGAAGGGAATTCTATAATAGAAGTAAACATCATAAAAACACATATGTCATATTAGATTCACTAATACAGAAGATACAGTCAGTAACCAATCAATAAAATGTCAGGAGTTACCTCTTATCTATCACCATTAACCTTGAATATAAATGGCTTAAATTTCCCAGTCAAAAGATATATATTGGTTGAGTGGATTTAATAAAGCAAGACCCAAATATATGTTGCCTATAAGAAACTCACTTATGTTGAGCGAAATAAGCCAGACACAGAAAGACAAACACTGTGTGTTCACCCTTTATATATATATAGGAGCTCAAAAATAAAAACAAAACAAACAAACAAACAAAAACAAAAACAACTCATTCATTGGTTCATTTCCTGAAATGACCATAGTAGTCAGGTCTGGGCCAGGCCATAGCCAGGAGCCAAGAACTCATCCTGGTCTCCCCTATGAGTGGCAGGGTCCCAGGTAATTAGGCCATCTTCCACTGCCTTTCCAGGCATATTAGCAGGAACCTGGACTGGAAGCAGAGAAGCTGAGGTTCCAGCTGGGCTCTGATATGGGATGCCAGTGGCTTAATCCACTGTGCCACCAACACTGGCTTCCTGAAAAATTTTTTGAGAATGTATTCTATCAAGTAATAGATGAAGATATGAGATACAAGAAGAATTAATAGGTAAAGAAATAATAAAATCTATTTATGTGTTAAATAGTTATTAGGAACACAATAAATTTGATAACAATTGATTGCTAAAATAACTCTAACGGAAAGGAATGGAAAGGAACGGAATGGAACAGAATGGAAAGGAAAGGATGAAGGAAGGAAGAAAAAAGAAAAATATATTATCACTTTAAAATTTCAGAAATATGATTAAAATTGTAGAGATAGAAGGCTGGTAAGACACAGCAAAAGTATGTTAGAATCTTTTTATTTTTTCAGGAGTGTTTAGGTTATAAATGTTAATTGATTATCATCATTTGCAGGAAAATGTAAGTTCAAATATGTTAAAAGTGCTGAAAGTAACAGAGCATATAATTTTCAAAACTTGAGAAATAGTGAACAAAGCATTTAGTATTTACTCCCTAAATTCATGTGTTAAGCTCTAATAAAGCAGTTAGCATGCATTCAATATTTTAATCTTATAAAAACACTAGAAAATAGTTATTACATACTTATTTTACAGATGAAGAAATCTAGATATAGAGAAAGGGTACCTCTTTAGCCAAACATCACACAGACTAAGTTGGAGGAGAATAGAAAATATTCAAAATTTTAAAACAGCAAATAAAATGGAAAAAAAATCTTAAAATTGATCAGTAATAGCAATAAATATAAATGGATTAAATTAATTGATGTATTGCACATAAAAAGATAATTTAACCATAGTTGGTTTTTTTTTTTTTTTTTGTTTGTTTGTTTGTTTGTTTTGACAGGCAGAGTGGACAGTGAGAGAGAGACAGAGAGAAAGGTCTTCCTTTTTGCTGTTGGTTCACCCTCCAATGGCCACCGCGGCTGGCGCGCTACGGCCAGCGCATCTCGCTGATCCGATGGCAGGAGCCAGGTGCTTCTCCTGGTCTCCCATGCAGGTGCAGGGCCCAAGCACTTGAGCCATCCTCCACTGCACTCCCGGGCCACAGCAGAGAGCTGGCCTGGAAGAGGGGCAACCGGGACAGAATCCGGTGCCCCGACCGGGACTAGAACCCGGTGTGCCAGCGCCGCTAGGTGGAGGATTAGCCTAGTGAGCTGTGGCGCCGGCACAGGTTATTGGTAAAAGAGATATTTAAATCAAAAAAGGTGGAAGAAGTTTTAAAATATAAGTTGGAAATATTATTCAAACAAATGCCAAAGAAAGAAAGAAAGCAGAATTAATATCAAGCAAGAATGTATTCAAGAAAAAAGGTAATAACATAAATAAATAAGATATTTCATTTTGATAAAAATATAACCACCTAGGGGGGCTGGCTCTGTGGCC